GAGAAATTCCTTTTTGCCTTTTGGCTTATACATTAGTAAATCTACATACGTTGTGGAATCTTTTTAGATAAACTTCTGTTTTCTTTAGGATTATGATCTAAAAAATTATACACGCACATTTTTTTAGTCTCTCACACACCCATGTTTAAATTTATTTGTTAATTCAATTTAATTTATTCCACCCAATGATAAAAAAAATATAGATCTTGCAACTCCCTATATTTATGTGTTAATTAGACTATGATCCTTCAACTCCTTGTTTACAGTATTGTTCAATTACTTCCATGACTATCCACTCCACCTTATATGTTTGATATTTGATTATATGGAGTCATCTAATTGGTTAATGTAGTTATCAACCAAAAGTAGCAGTATGTAAAGATTAGGCAGGTTTCCGTAGGTAATTAGGAGTGAGGACAGCACTCTTCCAATTTAGAATTTACAACATGAACGGTTTCTCAGCAGCACGAATTTGAGATTAAGCCAAATTTTGAAAACAAAGTAGCGTATGCTCAAATATATCAAAATTGGAGGCAATTGTCTTACCTCCCATACTGTACGGTGTGCGCGTCTCTACCACATGGGGAAAATGTCTTTGCCTTCTAAACTTGTGGAGACTACAATTAATGGGATAGTATCAGTAGCTGTTTGCAATTGCATTGCCAAAGTAGAGAGTGAGTAAAATACACGTCAATTGAGGTGTAGGATATAATCCTTTTTATTTTTATTTTTATTAGTAGTTATGTGAAATTTGTGTGGATTTAAGATTAAGAGGGCTGGCTAATAAGACCTTTTTCATTTCCTTCTTTTCTAATCATTGGATTCAACAAAATCAAAAGTTATCAAGAGACATAATTAACAAGAGTATACATACAAAGAAAAATGATGGTGAACACAAATCGCAAGATAGAGAAATGGACCCAAAACCTTGGGCTACAAGTCTCAACAAAAGTAAACCCATTGAACCATTTGATAGGGCAGGCCCAAGAGTGGAAATTTAGGACACCAATTACGTGAAGAAAGTAGAAGAAGAAGAATGGTCAGGGCATTAGAGTATCACAAAGCTCTCCCTCTCAGTAACAACAATCAGTTTAGTAATTGGAAGGAGAAATAACAACAATATTTGACTAACTCCAAAATTTCTATATCCTTCAAGTTGTAGAGCTATACCTATATCAGCCTAGGCTTCTCATATTATATCCATCCATAATATTCTATGCATGTAGAGCTATTTGCTAGCTAGCAAATCAGACCAAGGCTTACTTAAGACCCGAACAATCTCAAAGCAGTGAAGAGAAGAGACGCAGCAGCAGTGGCAGCGACGATGGTTCTAACCACGACAAGAAACGCAGCACCAGGAACAGTGTTTCTAATGAAGAAGATGCGCAACAATGGTTCCAATGATGAAAAGAAATACGACAGCATGAATGATGACAAGTGACTCAGCAGCAACAACAGTGACGAGAAGAAACAGGGCAGCACGAGTGAAGAGAACACACACAGCTATGGAGGTAGCACTCCACCAAGGAATCGAAGAAGAGGTAAACATGAGCTGCATGATCACGAGTGCTGCAACCACTGTAACCAATGGCTGGATCCAGGTGCTGCCCCAAGTTAAGTGCCCATCAGATGTAGTACTATCGCCTGTAGCATGATCAGGAGGTGAACCATCTGTAGAATTAATCGAGTAATTGGAAGTAGATGGCGGCGGAGAAGGCAGCACATGATCATTTCCCACTGCTTGACCATCTGGACCATGTCTGCTGCTGTTGTTGGAAATTGAATTAGCAGTATTTGATGGAGGACTAGTGATCAAGGGGCTGCTGGGTGAGGTTGCATTAACATTGGGACTCATCTGCAGAGCAGGCAGGACAAGAACATGGAGCTTGAGGCCTATGGCACAGTGGTCCAGCCTCCCACATATGAAGTACCTGTCTCCGGTTTGCCTCAATGGAATAACTGTCTCCCCATCATTGTGCGTCTCCATTGGGTCTATTGTGTGGCACAAATCGTAGTCCATTTTCATCACTTCCAGCACATCATGCACCGGCGTGTACCTGAAAACTGCCTCACACCACCACCACCATATGATCAAATGTTAACTTCAGATTCAAATATATCATCTCTACCCATAATCAATCATTAATCAACCTCTCATTACACCAAACCCACCCCCCCCCTCTCTCTCTCTCTCTTTCCTATAAGCAATGTGCCCTGTTTGATTCCGTTATTCACCATCTTAACTGATAGGGTCAGGCATAAAACAGAGCCTCAAATTAAACGGCAGTTTTGCCTACATAACAAAATTCAACCTGTTTCGTTATCAAGAAGGTTAAAGAAAAGAAAATTTAAAAAAAAAACTGATTGTTCATATTCAGTGAATTTAGTAATATGCTATGTCATTCTAATTGGTCCAAAATTTTCACTGATCACCCTTAAGCCCTGCAGCCTTATTCAAGGATTCAAACCAAACGGCTACCAAATAAGTAAGACAAGATTGAAGTAATCAAATCAATTAAAAAGGACAAAGAGATAACCAATGAACTAAATGTAGCTAATCAAATAGATAGGATAATCAGATTACACACCAAGAGAGTCCCCCACACGGAAAGTGGCGCGAGCAGCCCATGCTTGGAGGTTGGAGGAGAGATCCCAACCGGAAGCTCCACCAACAGAGTGGTTGGTGTTGGTTGCAGCAGCCGCAGGGCCAGCAGAGACGCAGCGGAAGAACATAGATGTGAATATCACGACAAGGATCGCCTTCACTGCCCATCCTGGTCTTAATCCCTTCATTTTTGCAGACTGAAAAATCAGCACGCATACATTTTCTAATTAGTAACTACAGTAATCGATAATTTGATACATCGTAATATCCAAATTCAAGAAATGATGGTGAGAAAATTTCTGCCATTTCTCAGGAAAAAGCCCAAACACTTGGGTAAACAGGCACACGATCATGAAAGAAAGAAACAAGAATTAGAATGTAAATTAATGATGTAATGGATCGGAGGAGCTCAAGAACGCACACACTCAACGCACTAATGGATATATTCAAGAAAATCGAACAGAAGAAATAAGCAAGAACAAACTGAAATCGAACGTCAATCAAGTTAAATCGCACAGTACGTAGCAGCAGGGTAACTTTCAACAAAAATTAGCAAGAACAAACTGAACTTGAACGTCAATGCAAGTCAAAATGCAGCACGTAGAAAGTTTCTCAGGAGATTATACCATTTTCTCTGGAAAATGTGCAGAGAAAATTCATGCCACTTCCTCGGGAAAATGCGCAAACACTTGGTAAACACATGACATGATCGTGAAAAGAAAGAAACAATAAATAAGCAAAAACAAACTGAAATCGAATGCCAATGCAAGTCAAAACGCAGTACGTAGCAGAGTAAATCTCAACCAAAATTCTCAGGTGACTACTGATTCAGTACGTACTTGCAGTTCTTGATTTCTTGCGTTGGTAAAAGAAAATCGAGACGACGACGGTCGATTGAGCAAAAGAAATTCTTGAATAATGGAGAAAGCGAAATGAATTAGCGACGGAGTGGTGGAATGGATTGAAGAGCTTAGCTAAGCGCAGTGCGAGTGTATATATACTCTGCTCTCACGCAGCTGTTGAATCGCCATGCGACCTTTTAGTTTTTAGAGAGAAGGTGATTGGAGAGAGAAGGAGAGGGATGGAGAGGTGGCACAGCGGGCAATGGGGGTGGTGGTTGTTACACTAGCATTTCTCGTTACAATTCTGTTATAGGAAAGGAAACTGCCCCGATGAGCACACTTGGCGCGTGTGCAACATGCCTAAATCATTTTCCAATCTTCAAACTCCACCTTTTAGCACTTCTAATTAGTATTTCTCAAAAATATTTTTGTACATAGTTTTAATAATTCGTTTTAAATTATACGTTGAAAAACTTCAATGTATAATAACTGCATTGTATACATATTTTTCAAATCAGCGAGCTCCACCCCGATTATGTTTGAGGCTTAATGAAATTCTTGATAGAATTAACGGGAATAATTTCCTTGAACCCTGCATCTCATTTTAGTAAATAGTTTCAATAACAAGTGAAGACAACAAATAATTTCCTTTCTGATTTCACCACCTTCTAACTCCTTCTCAATTCAATTTCTTGATTACGAACTAATAAACGAGGCATAAGAGAGAAGTACCTTCAGCTAGTGAATTTGTAAAAACAAAGTGGTACAACTTAAGTTATCTAAAAGAGTGATTGTGTGAAGGCTACAAGTGCAGCCATGGCGGAGGCTTTGGCTATTATGCATGGGTGTATGTTGGGAAAAAGTAGGGGTTGGAACCTGATTATTGTTGAGTCCGACTCTTTGGAATCAATTTCTTGCCTTAGGGACATGGCAAAGAAAGGCAGTTGGGATGCCTTCCCTATTCTTGTGAAGTGTTGCAGATTGGGAAAGGATTTTCTTGATTGTCGCTGGTCTTGGGTTCCAAGACTGGCCAATTTGGCAGTGGACCAGTTGGTGTCGCGACGTTGTAGGGAAGTATGTGATCATGTTTGGGTCGACAGACCCCCATCTTCCCTTGTTTATGTTCTGTGTAATGATGGCCTTCCATGCCCCCCCTAAGTGCTTTTGGTAGTGCGAGGAGAGACGCTCTAGCATTGCACCATGGCTTAAATGTGACCTCCTCGCACTACTCTTTTCTAGTAGTTATTTTGGTTGTTTGCCTCGGTGTAGGCTTTCTTGTATAACTTTGGCATCTTTACTTGGATAATGCTATATCCAGACTTCCAAAAAGAGTGACTGTGATGTCGCTGGTGTTTATTAAATTCTAGGCTTTGAGTTTGATGTGATATAATGTTTAGTGCTACGATTTGAGATCAATCGTATTCAATTTACAACGTTCATTGTTTGTTGTTTGAGTTGGGATTAATCTACTCTAATATTAATTTGGATTACTCGAATTTAACTAGAGCTTATTTAGAACTAAATTATTCACTAATTATATTTGTAGTTGTAGCCATCTAAAACTCCCGATTCCAGAATAACCAAGGCTTTTCGAACCATTTTTAAGTCAGCACAAATTACGGAAAAAATAATAAAATATTTCGTACACCTAAATGGTCGCCGGGCAAGGCGTCCAAATCCACTTGCCACTACCACTACCACTACCACTACCACTACGAGTAGAGGCCGTATAGACACGGAGGCTCAAGCTACTGTTTTATCTCGCATTAGAGAAGAGAGAGAGGAGGCTGAGGTGGCGGTGTCGGCGGCGTAAAATTCAAAAGAGGAAGTGAAGATGAAGAAGAAGAAGGAAGGATTGGGATGGATAGAGTGGATGAGAGGGTGGTTGTATCTGGCGTACGAGATGCTGTTCCAGAGAATCACGGCCAGCCACTTGCAAAACCCCATGCCTTTGCCTCCCATCAACGATCTCACTTGCATTGTCACTGGATCCACCAGCGGCATCGGCCGCGAAATCGCCAGGTCTCGTCCTTCTCCTTCCTTCAAATCTCCAAACATTGACGATTTCAGTTTTCTTGTTGGCTTGTTTGTTTAGTATAAATAAATCAACTCAGTTTGCAAGATTGCATTGGGACTTAGGGGTCCCACCATTTGGTTACTGAGAATTTTGATAACCTGGTGCCCATTTCTCAGTTTCAATTCTGAATTTTGAATTAGTTTTGCTTAAACATGAAAACTGAACAGGCAGCTAGCGGAATCAGGCGCGCATGTTGTAATGGCGGTGAGGAATACGAAAGCAGCTAATGAGCTGATCCAGAAGTGGCAAAATGAATGGTCTGGAATGGGGCTTCCTCTCAATATTGAGGTAACTTATTAACAGGGCCAACGCTAATATCTACATTTCATTAATTATATACAAACAATAATATTGTTTAACTTTAATAGGTTATGGAACTTGATCTGCTTTCTTTGGATTCTGTTGTGAGATTTGCCCAAGCATGGAATGCTCGTTTAGGACCTCTCCATGTTCTTATCAACAATGCTGGGATATTTTCAATTGGAGGTTGATCCTTTTGTTGACATTTTTACCTGATTTCAAATGTTCATCCCTTCAGAATCTGATCGGTCATTTGCTGGACTACTCTGTCTTTGGTGTGTTCAGAGCCGCAAAAGTTTTCTAAAGATGGTTACGAAGAACACTTGCAAGTGAATCATCTGGCTCCAGCATTGCTATCCGTCTTGCTATTGCCTTCCCTCATTAGAGGATCTCCGAGTCGAATTGTTAATTTGAATTCCGTTGTAAGTTCCATGGTCATCGTGCATAAAATTTTACGCTCTTCTGCTTTTGCTTTTCTGGGTATATATGATATATATAACATTCGCACACCTACGTACACACACATGGAAAGAAAAACTAGATGGCATATATGCTAACTAGTTGTAGATATATCCTTAGGTTTTTATATTGGCACTATAAATGTATTTCACAGTTTGATTTTCTTGTTTTACTGTTATGTTAATCTGAGAATGCTCGTTCTTTCTTTATATAGATGCATTATGTTGGCTTTGTTGACACAGAAGACATGAACGTTGTTTCCGGGAAAAGAAAATATACAAGCTTAGTGGGTTACTCAAGCAGCAAGTTGGCACAGGTGTCTTGAAAGTCTTTATTGTTTGATGGTTTCCATATTTTAGCCGGAACAAGCTTGTAAGAGCTACAAGCTTTTTTTCCTATCCATCTTTGTGGAAATGAATTCAGGTCCTCTTGATCTGTAAAGTTTAGCTACTTTGTGTGATATATATATTTGAAATACAGGTGCCTCTCTCTTTAATTAGATCTTTTTAGTTACTTGGACCTGTACATTGATCAAATGCTTGATGATTGGGTGCTATAATCTGCTTGTGTTCTTTGGCTTTCCTCCTTTTTTTTTTTTTTTTTGATAATTTTGTTTTAATTTTTTTAATTTTTATGGTTTCAACTTCTGCTTTGATCTCTCTTATCTATTAGTGTAAAAGCTGGTCATCTATTACCCAAGGCTGGACACATTTGCACATAATTAAATGTCAATTAACTGCGGTGGTATGTATATAATTTTCGAAACTAAAACGAGACTACTCTAACCTAGTTGTATATGGATTGCAGATTATGTTTAGTAGTGTCCTACATAAGCGGCTGCCTGCTGAATCTGGCATTAGTGTAGTGTGCGTTTCACCTGGAATTGTCCAGACTAATGTTGTAAGTATCTTGACGTGTTCCCCTCCGTTCTTTGTTATCTTGAAGAAGGATGTGCCTTCAAGGTTTCTATATGAAAGTTCTAATTGACAGTCTTGCATGTTATTGTTTTATGCACCTTGAAGATTTTACGTTCAAATATTATTTACATATACAGTATAGTATATTGAGTTTTATGTATCATTTTGGGTTTCAATTAATTACAGGCAAGGGATCTACCCAAGATTGTTCAGGCTGCGTATCATCTAGTACCTTATTTTATGTTTAGTGCTCAAGAAGGTGTGTCCCTCTTGCTATTACTTTTCATTTACCATTTTATACCTTCTTACTTATAAGATACTGAAAGCACCTCAGAAGCAAGGTTTGTAACTTATCTTTGATGAGTAGTTAATATCATCTCGTATTTTACTGCATTTAGTAAAGTTAAGAGTGGGCCATAATTAAAGTCACCCGAGCCTGTGAGTTGGCCAGATAAAGATTAAAAAAGATAAGACAGAACGGAATAGAAAAGTCGGTTCTTCTCATCATCTTCTTGTCTTGGTCCTGTTCCTTTTTCACTTTGTTAAACCCAAAGAACTTGCTTAAACCCAACTGCGACTTTTTAAACGAAAGAACAACAATAATGCTAGAAGAGCTTTTGGCAAATAGGAATGTCTAAGAAACTGAAACACTTATATATGTGCTACAAAGACGTGGCTTGTGCTTATATGTGCAAGATGCGCATACGTACCTAAATTTGAAAACGTAAAATGTAAAGAAAATAAAACAAGGTATTATTCTGAGTACCCCTGGGATCATCCTAGACTTGTAAAGTGTAGATGAAAACCTCATCTTTATGATAGATAACTGTCTAATCACTTATTTATGAATTATTAAGCTATCAGGTACTGTTGACTCTTTGCTCCTAAGTGATCTACTTAACAGATCCTAATTTTACCGCCCAAGCAATCAATAAAGCTTTTGATGCTCATTTGAAGACAGAACCAAAAGAAGGGAGGGAGGGATTGTGAAAATCATATTGGACTGATTTATTGTATGCAGGTTCTAGGAGTGCTCTGTTTGCAGCCACTGATCCACAGGTTCCGGAGTACTGTGAATTGTTGAAAACGGATGACTTTCCTGTTTGTGCCTTTATTTCTCAAGATTGCCATCCAACGAATCCTTCAGAAGAATCGCATAATGTTGACACTTCTCACGAAGTGTGGGAGAAGACATTTGAGATGATTGGCCTTCCGTCTGATGCAGTGGAGAGGCTTATAGAAGGGGAAGAAGTTGCATGCAGATACGGGGCTCATGGGGAGTAGCCTTATTGCATGATATGCTAAAAGTGCGTGTCAAATGTGCAGCCTAGATAACGTGTGGAAGGGTTGAATGCGGAAGAAAGACTGGAGTGGCACGATCATCTGGAAGAAATTTGAAGAGATGGTGTTGTGTTGTGTAGTGTTGTACACCAATTTAGTTGTTTAGATTTGTTTTTAACTTGTGACGGGTGCGGGAACAGAAACGATTATGAAGGTCTGACGCTGGTATTTGGTTCAACACCGCTCTTCCCAGTTCCCACCGGTGGAATTGTTTTCTTGGTGTAAACTAATGTTTTCAATTACATAGACATTATATGTAGAGAATTATTTAGAGACACAATTTCAGTGTTAAAAGATGAGTAATGACTTAAGAATGCAAGCAAACAATATCCACGAATTTAGATTTAAATGAGATGGGATGGAAGTTATAGGAGGCGGGACAATGCAAGCAAACAATACAACGCTACGTTTTAATGGGTACATGGGGCCACTGCCAATGTAATGTTTTTAACCATTAATACAACGTTATGTGAAAAATATTATAAATGATTTTGTATTAGTGCTTTGGAACGCTATATCTCTCCAAATACTTGGATTCTCACTTGGATGTGAAAATAAAAATTTGAAAAGATTTGGAAAGAGGAAGCATGTGAGAGTACACATGGTAATGGTATACATATATACACTCAACAGCGCCGACCCTCTTTCACTTCTCTCTCTCTCTCCGTCCTTAATCAAGAATGGTGGGAATGTAATAAGTCTTATTAGGAGCTTTGCTTAGGCTCTTGCTTTGCCCTCACATACGTTACTCTTCTCCTTAATTTATATTATTTATTTTAGAGCAGGGATAATATATAATCGTGGTTTAATTACAGCTATACCCCTGGAACTAGCGCTAGCTATTTCATCTGCTCCTCCGTCTACTTGAGTCTCTTGGGTATTCAGTATTCTCCTCTCTCTGGCTCTGCCTCTGCCTCTGCCTGCAGGTAACTCTCTCTCTCTCTCTCTCTCTCTCTGATATCATTTGTTCATTACTTAGTATTGTTCAGTAATTTAAATACCGCACATAATGATCTCTCTCTCTCTCTCTCTGATATCATTTGTTCATTACTTAGTATTGTTCAGTAATTCAAATACCGCACATAATGATATCTTTCAAGCACCGCACCCGCACGCATGAATTATGAAGGCGGCGTTAATGATTTGAAATTTTGAATGCCATACACAGAGTCTGAGTCTCCATACTATAATCTCTCAACAGTTGTCTTTTATTAAAAATCAACTCATCATCTCCTTAATTAATTAATTTCTTTTCTTTTCTTTTCTTTGCATATGTAATTATATATTGTGATTTGGGGGCAGATGAGACAAACATTTGGAATTTGGAATTTGGAATGGAAAGGGAGATTGAGATTCAAACAAACAAACAAACAATGAAAAAACAATTATGCTTCTGTCTCTGATCATCATTTGTTTAGTAAATCCAGTATTCATTCAGTTAATCCGTCTGTGTTTTTTAAGAAAGAATCAAAGGATAGAAATTAGGATGTCTTTCTCCTAAATAAAATCACACTGATTAATTTCCTCCCTGGAAATTATGCATGGGGAATTGAGTCATGATCAATGTTCGAAAGCCAAACCCACATACATACATACATACATACGCACACATATGTGAAATGAACAGAGTTGATCCTCGTGGTTTTATAAACCGAAAAGAAGAACATTATTATCTTTCGAATTCATTGCTCCTCCTCCTCCTCCTCGAGATCTGCGCTTTAATGTCTTGTACTGCAAGGGAAAGAAATAGGTTTGTGTGGTGCTGCTGCTTCTGCTATCATCTGCGCTTTCTTGTCTTGTACAACAAGGTGTACGTACGGTCTCCGTCTTAAATGCGTTTCAGAAACGAAACCCTACTCCTGCTCTCTCTGTTTCCACAAAGTTTATACTGTTCATGAACAGCAAACTAATGTTTATATTTTGCTTTTCTTTTATTAATTTAATTTATTCACTTTTATGAAGCTGTTGACTGTCGTAGGAGGCTTGAGACTCTCGAGACATGTCGATGGGACCGACAGCGGGGAAGAAGCAAATAACAATGTCATCAGCTTCATCAAATCCTCCTCCTCCTCCTTCAGTTGAGTCGTCGGCTCCTCCAAGTCCAAGAAGCAGTTTAAGCAGCAGCAACAGGTCCACCATGAATCGGAAACCCCCATGGCTCTTGCCCGTCCTTGACGGTAGGAACATTTTCATCTGAATCATTTTTCTTCTCCCTTCAACTTTTACTCATGGACCCGGAGAACAACTTGCATAAAAGGACCATCATTTGGCGTTTAGTTGAATAATACAATGTTGCATCCAAGTCATTCTCTATAATTCTTTTTATCTTTGTTTTGGTGCATGCATGATTGAATTGAACAACGTACTTGTGATCTTGACCGATTACTTTAGTTTGATTATGGATGAAAAGTTGAATGGAAAAGCTTAGGAGGGTTTTCGTGCAAGCACATGTGATGATGGGATGTGACAACTGACTAGGTAAACGTACGTAGCCTGGAGTTTACCGTCTTTGTCTCTTTGTCTGTCCATCCACCCTTCCTTTGTATTTGAATTTCAAAACTCCATCTGATGAGTGGTCACTAGTCTAGTCGGCAGATAACATGGCCATTGGCTTGTAGCAGTATATAATTGATTTTGTTTGATATTTTTATTCGAGGCAGGAAGGAAGGCACCGACCTCTCTCTTTCATCTTTCATTGCACATTACTCGAGCCCCCCTTTCTTTTCTTTTTTTTTTCTTCTTCTTCTTTTTCATGTTCTATGCTACAAACTCATGGTGCTAGGATTAGGTACAGGATTCAAGGAAAGAGAGATAACCTGCATGAATTGATGCGACATTTTTCAACATTCTTTCTTTTTTTTAAACAATAATTCTGCATGAAATGGTGCATCATTTTATTTTATTTAAAGCTCATAGAGTGTGGAATTTAATTATAAATCCCCCATGGTAACTTTGTTTTTATGAAAAAGTGTAGTAGACAAAAAATCAGTGACTCAATTACGTTCGAGTATGAACTGGTGTATGCTATACACATCTACACATTCGAGTATGAACCATTGCTGATTCCGCTATAAGTTTTAGTTTGTATCAAATTTGAAACCAATGGGGGAGGGTATTTATTTTTTATGTTTTGAACAAACTATAGTATATACATTAAGCGGATGAGGGAGTGATTAAGCCTTACAATAGTCTTGACATAATAATAGGGTATTTATTTTTCATATCTTGATGGATATGATGGAGAGTGACATATATGTCTCCAGGGGGAAATTGGTCATTTCACAATTTGGTGGTCCTGCTCAATTCAAAATCTCTTTTCGAATTAGATGCTCTGCTCACTCTCCAGTCTCCATCATAATTTCCCAATTCAAACTCCAATTTGATTTTGTTTACTGGCATGTTTAATTTGTTTGTTACTTTTGATCTCTGCACTCCACATTTAAGCTCAGCAGCCCGACCCAAAAAAGAAAAAGCCCAGCAGCATATAATGTGCATGTTATTGATGACAAATATGAGCGGAAGCGAATGCTGCATTCTAGTTCAAATAAGATTAACGGATGCCTCGGTTGTTATATATGTCAGATATGGAAGAGAGGATGAAGATGCTGGCATCTAACACAGCTCAACAAGACACCGGAGACACCTTCGCTGAACGAGCCGAGGCTTACTACAAACGACGCCCTCAGCTTCTCTCTCTGCTTCAAGACTTGTACAATGCCTACCTCACTTTATCCGATCGTTACATTCAAACAATCGCCAAAACCAATCATCGACGAGGACACTCCTCCCAAACCTCAATCACTGATAATGACTACTATGACGACTATCATGACCAACAAGACCGAGATGGTGATACATTAAGCCAGATGGATTCGTACGTGGATAGTTCCCTCTCCTATCAGCAATTACCTCTGGCTGCTGCCGCTCAGGATGATGGCATGGTTTTGGATTTGGACGCGATTGTTACGGAGATTGTGATGAAGAATGTCGAATGCGATATCTTACTTGATGAGGTCAACACCACAGAGAGGCGATACAACGAGTCATCCAGGAAGATAGAGTTGCAGAAGAGCTTGCTTGAGGTGCTGGAGTCCGAAAGGCTCATACTACTGCATGAGAATGCCAAGTTGGGGTACAAAATGGGTGCACTGATGGAAGAGAACAAAGCCCTCGCATCCGAGTCTATGTTCATCAAGAGGAAAGCTGGAGAGCTGGCTAGATGTCTGCTCAAGGTGAGGGAGGATCAGAGGGTGTGCATGCTTAGCCGTAAAATCGAGGACCTGCAGGGCCAGATTTATGGGTTGGAGAGGAGGAACAAGGAGTACTATGAGCAACTCGTGAAGAGAGACCAATGGTCCTCCCAACTTGTACAAGAAGAGAGTAGGAGCATCAACAACAAGAGCAAGTTTAATGGGAATGAGGTGAACATGGAGGTTTGCTTCCAAATAGGGAAGATCAATCGGAGGCTGAAGAGCGGTCATAGCACAGTGAAGGATTTTGGCGCTGTGAGCGGGAAGAAGGGTTTGAGTTGGTGGGGAAAGGTCAAGAACATGGATTTGTTTCTGTGCGGAGGCTCTACTTAACCTTAATGGTATCTGTTTAGTAAACTTAAGTTAACGGTGGTCTGTTTATATTTCTTCGATTGTTCGGTTGACTCAACGCTGTAATGAACCTGATGACTCCATGGTGATCCTGCCTTGTATTAGTTTCATGGTCAAGGAGAATTTGATGCTGAAACCAGGTAAGGTGTGCCACGAAAGTTGAAGTTGCCAACTTTTAATCTATGACTAAACTATTGAATGCTTCAAATGAATTTCCAGCGTTTGGGTCGTTATTTGGAAACTGTACAGTTCATTAAGCAAAACCGATTTCCTCACACGGATGAAAAAGGGACAGTTCTCAAACAGAATTCTGTCTCTAAATTTAGTCAAAATCTTGTCTAAACAATCGGATATGAGGAGACTATAACGAGTAGATTGGAAGATTAGTAAAATGAACACTAAACTCTAATCCTGATCCTTAGTATAACAAATGTCTTATGTAGATTACGACTATTAAATAGGTACATCAGAAAGTTGTGAGATCCCCACTCGTCCAAGGACATAGTGCTAGTTAGGCTCATGAAAAAAATACTTACAGATTTCACGAACTTGTATATATACAATACCCTGAGGCTGTTGCAATTGATTTAAAGAGAAAAAAAAAGAAGAGAAAAGCGCTGGTCCTATAACTTACCATTTTTCCAGTATACGTCATCATCTTCTTCTTCCTTTTTACCGCCGTTCTTAATACATCAGGGTCAAAATTGGCTGGACTCTTGTCTTGAGTTGTAGAAACTGGGATTGGGGAAAAAGAAATCATGTTTGAGATGTTCTGCTAAGTATAGTACAGTCAAGTGAAATAATGTTCTGAAAACCATCTAAAGAGAGCCACCTGGAATCAAGCAGAACAAACATTATGACTTATCATCAAAGTTGAGTAATTGATCGATTTATACATGACTCCAGAACCTTGCAGCTCTTAAGGCAGATTTGCGGCAGTGAGTTTCTCTAGGTTTGCAATCCTAGCCTGCATCAGTGGCACAGGTGATGAGAAAAGTATGATATCAATAAATGGGAAAAGAATTCGACAACCACCATTTGTAAACAAAAATCCAATTGCATTAGCTCTGGATCAAGTTCAACTCAAGACTACAGAAAACAAACTCGAGGTTCAGATTGCACTGTTCAACCCAAAACCAAATTGTACATTTAACCGACCTAGCAATGGAAGGCAGAAAACAAATCTAAGAGCAGTGAAATTTCACGTACATAAATATGTTCCGTGTCATTTTCCAAGCCATCTTCAAGTTAAAGTTATAAATTTTTTGTGTATTTACATCTTACATTACATTCAGCACAGGAGTAGACAAAGTCTCCAGAACGCATCAAATCTTGCACATTGAACGGATTACATGGATAATCATGTATAAGGATATAGTCACAAAGTCAGTCATAAAAATTGACTACCTTGAAAGATTTGGAACGCCGAAGAGAAGGATCCATCTGTAAAGCTGTCGAATATGATCTCTGCGCCGAGTCAAATTTGTTCATGACCAAGAATGCATCACCTTGGCAAATATAAGCCTGAACAAACTACAAACTATGATCAACTTTATGAAATTAAACTGTATTGTAACCACTGCCTACTGCCTACCCAGAGAGGCAGAGGCAGCAGGGAGAAATGCTGGATGCTAATAACCATATATACATACACACGTGGTAATTAATTAAGCAATGGAATAATTTATTAGTTAACGAATCAAATAATGAGACCAAGCATGAACCTCAGGATAGAGAGGATGCAAAGCCAAAGCTTGAGCGGCATCTTCAAGAGCCCCGGAACAATTGCCGAATGCTAATCTTGCAAGGGACCTCTCCTTATACATAATATGAACACCCCCAATTGGTCCTAATTCTATAGCCTGCATGCAGTAATATGCTAATTGTGTTTAATTAAATTAAATCACTTGTTAATATTTTCTTTTAGATATATAACTGAGAATAGTGAGAGCTAGCTAGATAGTACCTGTGAGAGGAGGAGCTCAGCCTGAGAGAAATTGTTCTTGTCAACTACTTCACTTCGCGCCTTGTTTCTCAATGCCAGCGCTTCCAAACTCTTGTTAACAATAGAGTCCCAATTCGAACCACCACCACCATCACCTCCTCTTCCCCGTGGCAGAACTAGTGCCACGAGGACCTCGGCCGCTCGAGCGGTGGTGCCGCAGTGAGCGACCAAAGTCGCGGCGGGAAGCGCCACGAGGTTGGGGCCTGCCCCACAGCGGCCCAAGCAGCCGGAGGATTTGACGGAGACGTTAGGAGGGGCGAGATCGGTGAGGGCCTCAAGGATTTGCATCGAACCTTGTCTGCGGCAAGTGCGGTTGGTGCACACCCTAATTTCCTTGACGTCCTCTGCTGACTGACAATCTTTGACCACGATGCGGCGTCGCACACGCCTGGAATAAGATCTAGAGGCGGCGGAGGCAGTAGCTCCAGGTAGAGGCAACACCACATCCATTTCTCTATGTGCAGAGATAGATGACAGTTAATTTCCTACTTTAATCCGCGTAACAAATGCTTCTGTTACTTGAGTTCCAACCGTTCCACTTACAAATTCCGATATTTTTCTTTAATGCCCTTAAAAATGTATTTTTTCACAAATTATGAGCTATAAGTCGTAAATTTCTAATTTAAAGGACCAATCAGAAGCTTACTTTTGTATCATTTTCGTCGTGCGATAAGCGTTTTAATAAATTGTGTTGGGTGATCAGTGATTTTCTAGAACTTGGAGAACACTTTTGCTCAGACGGTATATAATTATTTTATTTTCGGTCCAACTACACATTAAAAATCTATAAAAATAAAAAATAAAAAAAAAACCTTCTATATATTACTCACTAAATGATCCAACACTTTGAAATGGGCTTATAGCTTCTATAATATTTAAAATTTGTAATTTTTACGAAAATTATGAGCTGTAAGTCATTATTTCTTATTAATATTTTCTAATCCAAAAGAACAATTGTAAGCCTACTTACGTGTCATTTCATTGCTAGGCAAGGCTCTTAATAATTCATGTAGAGCATTTAGTGATTTTGTGGAACCCGCTAAACAATATGATGGATTTTGTGACCTCATCATAAATGGAGATCAAATTGGCAAACAATTACAGTGACCGTATCCACACACATGAAAATAAAATTTGAGGGATTCAGTGTAATTAGGCTACCTCCATTTTGATCAAGTATTTGTATTTGTTGATACCTGACACTTTGTTCTCCATTTTATGGTGAAATCACGAAGACCACACAAATCCACCAAAATTGCTTCGTCCTCTTTGTATGGTTGCACTGACCAACACACAAAACATTAAAACCCAGCTACATCTACATGACAAGTAATTGCTTTTTTCGATTGTTCAGACTAAAAGTAAGAGCTCGACCGAAAAAAAAAAACCTTCCGAGTAAGAGATTTCGGGATAAGCAACATACATCACTGTTTTATTAATATTATACTGGTACATCATTACATAAGCAAAATCAAACCATGATCTTCTTATTTACTTAATATTAGATTTCATATAATTTGTGTAGTTGTTTTAATATTAGATTTCATATAATTTGTGTAGTCGTTTTGATTAATGGTTGTTGTACCAAAACTGTTTCTGAAGATAATCAACCTCCTTCTCGTCCACCTGGAATGCCTTGGCCAAAACATCAGGGTTGATGTGAGGGTTGGATCCGAAGACTGCATTCGCAATGGTGATCACTCCCGGGTTCTGGCTGCTGAGACCCGCGATGGCCAAAGCGTTGGTTTTTCCGACATTGAGTTGGAAGTGAATAAGACCGACTGGGAACACAAACACATCTCCCTTGTACAACACCTTGGTGAACAGCCGATTGCCGTCGGCATTGGATGTGACGAATCCGACGTAGAGTGAGCCTTCCAAGACTATGAGTATCTCCGTGGCACGAGGGTGAGTGTGAGGAGGATTCAGGCCATTTGGTGCAAAGTCTAAGCGAGCAAAGGATATGCCGAGAGTGTTGAGTCCGGGTATATCGTCTACGTTTGCTGCCGTAACAATTGAACCAATCGGATTCGATGTGTTTCCGGGGTTCCGGAGCTTGTCAGAGAAGAAATCGTTTGCTGACGCAAGTTTTGGGTTCTTGCAGAACTTCCCGTTCACAAACACTGTTCGAAATGAAACAGACAAACAAATTAATCTTTTTTTTTTTATTTTTTTAAATTTTTTTATGCACGTACGTGTTGTACATGCATGGATGATGATGAGCCATCAGCCATGTAACATCAGCCTTGCACAATCATATAGGCTTTAGGCCTGAGTAATGCTATTCATACTATGTTTTTGTATCATATTTTCTTAATTATTAGTTTATTAAATAATAAATTAAATTTAAAATTCTGATTAATTCAAATGAGATGGCTGTCCACGTCAAATGCTACCTAAGGTGGTATAAAAATGTGGTACAACCCAAGAGCACATTCTATTTGAGAATAGTTAGTAAGACTAATATGATATGAATAACATTACTTTTTATGCCTTGTTATTTCCTACGTACTCTATATATTTACTGAAAGGAATTTTACTTGACAAAAAAAAAAACATAAATTAATTATACAACATAATAGTAATCTTAATTAATGATATTGTATTTACGTAATTAAAACGTATAATTATACGTACCAGCAGGATCGGTGTTATTAATTGCGACGCAAAAATCCTGAAGAGGACTTGGATCAGAGGCAGAGGCAAGGAGGGAGGCGAATGCTAATAGGGCAATAGCAGTTACAGGGAAATGAACTCCTTTCATCGCTAGCTAAAGTTTATAGGAGATTATTCTATAGATTAGCAAGGACTTGGACCTTGTACTTTGATATATACCGTGTAACTAAAGTAGTATTAGATGATCAGTTGCTTTGAGATGGATGCAAATTATGTATGGGGACACTTCTGTATTTATAGATTAGCACGAGACACTGATGATGAACTGGTCTTGGATTTTCCTTCTCGATAATCGAAGCAGGTAAAGACTTGGTTGTAATTACGAATTGATTGAACTGGTCTTGGATTATAATTTAATATTAACTGAACTGGTCTTGGATTAACATTTATTATTAATAAAATTTAGTAAAACTAAAATATGCGTATATAGGTGTTTTCAGTAACTAATTAAATCGATCTCAATTAAGATAGCCGAAATTAAAACTATAAATTATGAATAATTTCACAATTGAAATCAGAAGCTACTTATGTTTGAATTTTCCAGCACATAAATAATTTGACTGAGTCCCATTATTTGGTGTTTCAATATACAATATACAATTTTGCTTGCAAAAGAACAAGTGAAGAATATCCTGTTAAAGATAACTTTAATCCCACAATTGTTGAGGGCAATTGACAAATGCAACAAAGAAAAACTACAATCTGAGATGAAAAACTAGAATTTTAAACTTTTGGATCATACGAGTATCCGATTCAATCGAGGATTTTTCTCTTTTTTTTTTCTTCGTTTTTTTAACTTTTGGGTTTTTCTGTGCTTTTTCTGCTCAACGATGGCGTTGGCGTCGGCTTTTATGGAGATTCTGAGACGACCCACGATAGTTGAGGTGCTGGGGGAGTTGATGATGTTGATAACCCCTATGTCGATTGTTGTGATTGTTATTGGGGGTGTGGTTGGATGGGAGTGGAAGCCTAAATGGACGAACTTTGGTTGGCCGAGAGAACTTAAGAGATTTTTTGTTCTTGGTTTTTGAGAGAGAGCTGGAGAGATCGAGAGAGGTGTATCGGAAGCAGTAGAAGAGCTTTCCGCGATGACCAACACGTGGGTTTATCCTGTCGAGAAAGGAGAACAACAGCTGGAACTCAAGAACGCATTATACCCATACCACATAGATAAAACTGTCATTTTACTATTAAGATTGAAAATAAAAGAACAAAAGAACAGCAAAACAGGGGATAAAACGTGAAAACACCAAATATTACTGTGTTCTATAATATGTAATTTCCGTTCTTTTCTTCTCATTGTAGGAATCTTCTAGTCATGGTTAGTCACGTTTTCATAAATTGGGCAATGAACAAAGTTTGGCCCAAATCTAGGCCGAAAAGATGTCCAATGCGGACCTGATTTCTCATGTAAATCCAAATTGATCAAAAGTGAACAATTAACCAAAATATGTCTACGTTGGTGCACTTGAATTTCGAAGTGGTCCAATATAGAATGAGTTTTACTATAAGGAATATATGGTCGCGGCTTATTCAACTTCAAATATGAAGTGTTCAGACCATCTCCATCTTTGGGTTAAAACCTAAATTTTTTAATCCAGAAAATTCCAGAAAATTTATGTCACATCTCGGCTCGGACCTCCACCACATCCTCGCCCCGACCCCTATCATATTCCGGACTCAACTCCACCATAGCACGATATTGTCCGCTTTGGGTCCTGACCACGGCCTCTTGGTTTTGTTTCTGAGAACTCACACGAGAACTTCCCAGTGTGTCACCCATCTTCAGATTGCTCTCGCGCGAACTCGCTTAACTTCGAGTTCCTACGGAATCCGAAGCCAGTGAGTTCCCAAAAGGTCTCGTGCTATTTGGAGGTGGGCAGGTACATATAAGATTTACAGGATACACTACCCAGGGCGATGTGGGATGTTACAATTTAGATTTTAATCCAGAAACAGTTTTTCTCCTCCAACCCTTCTGGGTTAAATTTTTAGTCTTAGATTATTAAAGAATGAATTTAGGATAATTTCTTTCTTAAAGTAACTTTTTTTTTTAATAAAAAAATTATGTAGACTATCATAATTTAATTTTATGAATATTTGAACATAAAAATATTTAGATTCCAATATATATTGAAAAATCACTAAACCGACACCATGAAACTCGTGGAACACTACGAAAGAATATGAAACACATAAAATAATTTTTTTTTTTTAATTACTTTAGCAGTTGGATTTAAATTTGGACTGTTAGATATCTTTTTTTACCGTTGGATTTGATCAAGTTAGATCTTAATCATTGAATTCAATGAATTTATAAATATAAAACTAAAAAAAAATATACATATACGGTAGGTCAGCTCCACTAACAGAATCCTGGGCTAAGCCCTGATTTGGTATTGAGGTGATTTTAAAAAAAATGGTAGTAGTAGCTGCTAGATGATCAGTTGCTTTGAGATGGATGAAAATTATGTATGGGGACACTTCTGTATTTATAGATTAGCAAGAGACACTGATGAAGAACTGGTCTTGGATTTTCCCTCTCGATAATCGAAGCAGGTAAAAGACTTGGATTAATTTTTAGAAGCAGGTATAGACTTGGTTGTAACTACTAATTAATTGAACTGGTCTGGATTAAAATTCAATATTAATATGTACCAATTCTTTTGGCAATAAGCCACTAACCGTATTGCAGTTTTGTATGTGGTCGATTACCTTAATAGTTAGAGATACATTACACTCGGGTTCAAATCCTCATTTCTTTCAGTGTTGATTAATTTTATTTAAAAAAAAATTAAAAAACTGAATTGCATTTTTTGTTCATCGGGAATTTTATTGAAAATATTGTTAAAAATGCATGCATATATAGGTGTTAATTAAATCGATCTCAATTAAGATAGCCAGAAGTTAAAATTACAATATGAATAAAAAGGACGATCAACCATGCATTAAGATAGAATTTTCAAAAGCTTAATTTGACTGAGTCCCACTTTTTGTTGTTTCAATGAATAAATAAAATATATAATCTTGCTTGAAAAAAGAACAAGTGAAGAATATCAGGCTAAAGGTACCTTTAGTAAAGGTCTGTGAGGTATATACATATTTATACAATGAGGAAGATGGAGAGGAAATGAATTAATTAGCCGTTGATATTATATTACAATCAATTGAAGTATTCCAAAGCGTAATGCTCTCTTAGTGGATAACATATATGAATTGGGACTCGTTCTCCGACAGTTATTTTATTTTTATTTCTATTTTATATTAATTATATGGAGAAATTATTTCTAGGTCTTAATAAATGGCCCAAATGCTTCTATGGAGCTTATAAAACTTTCCTTAACGCATATATCAAAATATTTGGAAATTCAAAATTTTCATTTCACGAAAACTGTGAGCTTTTTACTAATTTCTAAAGTAGTGAATGTAAACCTATTTTTTTATCTTTTTAGTTGATCGATAAGCTTTTCAATAATTTGTGTAGGGCTTTTATTGATTTTTTTGAATCTTAAATATCACTTTAGCTCACCACTAGTAATTTATATTTTTTCAATTTCACCACTTTAAAAATCCGAAAATAATACTTATGGGTCTTATTAGTGGTACAACTACTTCCGAATACCTTATAAAACTTTCTTTAATGCATATACCAAAAAATTGGCAAATATTCAAAATTTACATTTTCACGAAAACTGTGAGTTATAAATTACGTTTATGAATCAATTTTGCTAATTTCATAAGCAGTGATCGTAAACCTACTTATTTGTGTAATTTTGATCGATCAATAAACTTCTTAATAATCTATGTAGGGCCCGTAATGATTTTTCTAGATCTCATATAATACTTACACTCTACGCTAGTGTTTATTTATTTTTCTATTTCATCACATTAAAAATTTGCAAAATATACATACAGGTCTTAATAAATGGTCCAACTAATTCCGAAGAGCTTATAATGCTTTGTTTAACGCAATGTTCTAAAAAAGGGCCTAGGCGGCTGCCTAGGCACTGGGCGGTGGTGACCCGAGGCGTTTTCTCACAAATCGGTTGGGCTCTAGGTGGCCCTAGGCGGCTTTAGGCGGCTATGAGGGTTTTTTTTTTTTTTTTTTTTTTGAAATTAAAAAAAAATCCTATCTACATTACTATATTTCCTTATTTTCCTCCTATTTTGCATTTTATGTGGTTTTAAATTGTGAACTTATTGTACATATGTCATCCTATAATACTTCTCACTATGGTTCTATGGCATATATGCTTAATGTGTTTTTAAATTTTGGACTTGTTGGATACTCTTTTTGCATTTTATTATTCTTTTATTATCTTATCCATGGATCTCATACAAGTTTAATTTTTTGTAAGTGTCAATATGCACTTATTTACAAGATATACAAGAAATTTACCTAAATCCACCGAGCTGCCTAAGCGCTAAGCGCTAGCCCGCAGCCCGACTAGCGCCTAGCGTTTTTTAGAACCTTAACGCGTATACCATAAAAATTGCAATGGTTGAAAATTTTCATTTTTCATGAAAATTGTGAGTCATGATTTTGGATCGATTTTACAAATCTATAAACAAGTGATCTCAACCTACTTTCTAGTCATTTTGGTCGATCTATAAGCTTCTCAATGAACTGTATAGGGCTCTTAATGATTTTTTCGGATCTCGGATATCATTTCCGCTCTCCATTAGTGTTAATTTATTTTTCTATTTCACCACAGTAATAATCCGTAAAAAACAACTTATAGGTCTTAAAAAATGGTCCAACTACTTCCAAAGAGCTTATAAAACTTTCTTGAATGCGTATATCAAAAAAATTGCAAATGTTCAAAATTGCATTTTTCATGAAAACAGTGAGCTATAAGTCATGATTACGGATCAATTTTGCTAATTTCTAAAGTAGTGATTGTAAGCCTACTTTCATATCATTTTGGTTGAGCAATAAGCTTCTCAATAATCTGTGCAGGGCTCTTAATGATTTTTCTAGATCTCGGATATCATTTTCGTCCAGTGCCAGTGTTTATTTATTTTTCTATTTCATCACATTTAAAAATCTGTAACTTATAATTATGAGTCCTAAAGAACTGTCGAACCACTTCCGATAAGCTTATAATACTTTCTTTGAAGTGTATACCAATAAAATTGCAAATGTTCAAAAGTTTCATTTTTCATTAAAACTTTGAGCTATAACTCACGATT